CATGAATCCATCAATCGAGTTTCGTTTTCTGGTCATGTTTCGTAGAAAAGCTGTATCGGACCCGTCCAGGGCTCTGTTGTTGGAAGCACTGCGCCCTACATCGCTACCTTTACTTCTCCACATTCTTCTACTGAAATGATCCTGTACAATCTATAATACGTAGGAATGTCAAAATTTGTATTATGGTATTTCCAAAAGAATTCCTTAACTGGTTACCTCATTCTATTTCCGACTCCCTCTTTAAAACATAAAAGCTGAGATCTGAGAGGAATAAATTCTCAAACCGTGATTAAAAACAAAATTAAACAACAGAAATATTCTCTCATTTCCCAAATTATCCATTAATTTATACATTTCTATTCGAAAGTTTAAAATACTTGTTTCTGTTAGAAAAATATAAAATGTTTACTCTGCATAAATTACCAGCATTACGTTCCTTGTTGTGCATAATATCATATTCATGTAATTTATGTAATTTTAATTATTACTTTTAGGAAACTTTTGAGGTTTTGAGATATGTCCGAAGGTAAATTTGAAGATAATTTCCATGTAGAGCAAAGCACATAACGTGAAAGATCATTTGCTCTTAGGGCAGGAGATTGAAAGGCTTGTTTGCTCGTTCACGCTCCAAAGGAATGAAAAAATTGCCTTTACAGATATTTATAAAACATAATAAAATTGGTGGGTTCTGAAGTGCAGAGAGTAATGATAGAGAGATATTAAGGTTACTTTTTTATTTTTAAGTTGAAACAGTAAGTAAAAGATAAAAGTAATGTGCTGATTTTTTTTCCAGATTCCGAAAAATGACAAAATGGATTCTGACGAAGGAAATAATTGAAGAACACAAAACATGCCTGAATCAAATATTACTCGAACAGACTCCTGGATAACTACAATTTTATGATAGAGATCTAAAAGTCCGAAAAGAGGAAACATGAACCCAAAAAGTAATTCACAAACAAATGTACAGATCTCCCTCAATGTTTTAAAACTATTCATTAGGATTTGCTCAAAGTAAAAACATTTTTCAAGAATACTGATTAAAACTGGAAAAGCTGTGTAAATGAAAAATCGAACATAATTACCCTAGCATTACCATGAAAAGGGAAACAAATGCAATATAACCCAATGGAAAAGCCACCGAAGTTTAACTTTTATCCTTCTCCCTGTATTGTCCCATGTTTGTGAGAATGCCAAAGCGCTTAAACATGGAAGAGCATTCAAATACATCAAAAAATTCGTAGTGAAATATAAGAGTATTAAACTTTAAGCTTCAAAACACTTTTAAGATATGTTAATGCTCGTTGCCGGTTTCCATTAACTGGTATTCTACCCAATGTATTTGGCTCGTTAACTATGACCTAATCTTATTGGGTACAGGGGCAAAATGCACATTAAACCAGTAAATTACACTTATTGTAATCAGTGTATTACAAACATCCGTATATTTCCCATATGAATATAAACTGTTGAATTTTGAACATTTTTACCTCTGAAGTTCAAAGACATAAATACAATGATAAAAAGTAAGATAGCTCTCAAAGTATAGCTATATAACACGTTGCTAGAACTTTATGACTCAAAGAAACTTCATGGCCGTCGTCTATTTTAATTTAGGGCATTGTGTACGTCAAAATATATTTACATACTGTCTACAGTACTCGGGAAATGCTAAGCTTCAAAAAAGTTTTAAAAATAGAGTTGATATGCCATGAACAATAGTTTAGATAAAACAGGTAAATGTCTTCACACAAGTTCCACGAGTGTCGTATTTTATTCCACGAGTGAGGTAGTTTCATGTGTACAGCCAATACTTTATGTATTAAATGAGCGTCATGCTAATACTTTACCTCTCAACAGAGACACGTTTCTCCCTTTTTAAGGCAAATTTCGGGGCATAAAAGGCAGCAAGCAGGCGCCTCTTTCGCCGAAAGCAAACGCGGAGGAGGGCGATTCGCGCCGCGCCGCGCCGCGCCGCGCCTCGAACCCCAGACCGCCCGCGCCGGCGTCTCTTTACGACTGGGCGATGCGCTGCTTCGGATCCAGCGCCGCGCGGCGCCGCGCCGCTTCACTCCGCGGCCGAATTACTTTCGTTCCGTATTCATGCGTCTTTATCTGCACCGGCTGTCTTAAAGACAATTTACTTCGGGGCACAGCCATAAACAATGTTTTCTTTATGCTCCTCCGCTGGCATTCGTGAAATCCCCAGAGAGGCGGCGGCGGCGGCGGAGGAGGAGGCGGGGGCGGAGGCGGACGCAAGGCGCCTCGCCGTTGTTATGGTAACGAGGAGGCCCGGCGGCGGCGAGGCCAGGGCGGCGGCCGGCCAGGGCAGGGCGGGGGGGGCGGCGTGGCGGCGGGGCGGGCGGAGGCGGGGCGGCGGTCCGTGGGGCAAAACCAGCAGCCAGAGCTCGCTGGGGCTGCGTAATCCAAACCTATTCATATTCTCGTAAGCTGTTCTCATTTGGTAGAGCTGTGTTGCTTGCGGATCTTTAGCAAGGACTTCCACTCGCAATACCCCACTCGCCTGCCGCGGCCGCCACCCCCACCGCACCGCCGCCGCCGCCCCACTCTCGCCACCCCTTTCCCTCGCCCCACCCCTTCGCCCATCCCTTCGCCCGCCCCCGCCGCGCCGCGCCGCCAGGGCATAAAGACACGCTCGCGTACAGTCGCAGCTCTGCGTCCCGCCCACGCCCCCGCCCCCGCGCCGGCCTCTGCTGGGCGCACAGCGGGAGGAGCGAATGAAGAGGGAGGCGGCGAGGAGGTCGCGTCGGAGTTGGGGCTGCGATTGTTTCCGCAGAGGCCACGACAAACATCGGGGCTGCGGCACCATCTTCATACTGATTAGTGGCCGTTGCTTCAAATGAAGATCAGGAAACAGAGTTGCACTCACGGACAGTACTTACATAGAATAAATAAATTATTATGGTAATCAGCATTTTCAACCACAAAACATTTGGTCAAAAGTACCCTTTGAGTCTTGCTGAATCAGGTTTTGAAAAAGCACTTAAATTTGTTTGATTTTTTAATAAAAAATGATTTCGAAATAAAATTGATTGAAATAAAATAACTTGGTTTTTATTAATAGTCAAGAATTTCTAGCGATATTTTTCTCTAAATTATTTAGTTATCGATACATCTACAAGTTCATTTCTAATTTCATTAATTTTTGTCTTCTCTACTTTTTCACTTAGTCATATAAGATAACGTTATGTTAATAATGGAATAATTTTAATTATTTCAACATCTTAATTTAAACAACTATTCCTAGAAATTGAAATAGACATAGAAATTGAATATCTACAATTAAATTACAAATTATATTACTGCACTTCAAATTACAATTAAAATATTACAAGAATGTATGCAATTAACCTGAAATAATTTTCCATTGAAAATAAGGTCAATAAATTGTGCTTTTGAATTTAGTCTCGCATTTCTTTCTTTTTTACAATTCTACCAAAAGGGCGAACAACAGTGTACTTTTATCGAATAGGCACAAACGACTTTGAAGTCAATCATTACAATACTAGAAGGTTTGTCATATTATAATTAATATTATTATAATTATTGAGCTGAAAATTTAAAATTCATCTAATTTTGTGCGAATTAAGGCGAAAACGGAATGTAAAAAACATAAATGGATAGACGAATAAAAGTTACATTCCATAATTCCAGCATCTTAAAACCATGTCAAAGAATCCATTCTAAAAATCAGTCAGATTTATTAATTATGCTACAACAAACTTTAATAAAAGAATATTTATAATCAGTTTTGAAACAGTAACCTCAATAGATAATTATGGCATTGTTACTCAGAAATTGGCAAATGATGTCTAAAAATACTTAAACAAAATAGCAATTCTTGAAATTAAATGAAAAAAATCAATAGAAAAGGGGATTTTGAAATAGAAGTATCAATTGACAATCCAACCATTGAAAACCTGTATCTAAATACTATTAACCCGTTTTCCCTTCGTCCTTCCTAAAACAATTCATTTTAACATAGGTTGCTTTATTTATCCTTCTCATTGCTGTCATCATAATCACTATAAACATTAATTGATTCTTAACCATGCTATTTTGCTTCTTTCATGTGCATGATGTAAACTATTCACGCATCTGAAAAGCGACTGTAAGAATATTAAGAGGATCATTCAGAGATTATCCTCGTAAAACTCGTTGTATAATGTGATATCTGTGAAAATTAACCGTGTGCACCTTGAGAGGCGTCAATGACGAATATGTAATAATAAATAAATAATTTTGTCGTATTAGATTGCCTTTATGTGTTACTTACTTCCTGCAACAGATTATAAAACCCCGCGCTATGGAGCTCGTGAAATAACTAATTTGCGCATAAAGACCTATTTTAATCATTTGAAAGACAACAAACTATTACGAAACAATTTACAATATTCTAACGACCATTCTTCGTTTAATCCAATGCAAACAAGTGAAATTTGAAGCATATATGAAACATTGAATAAGTGACACTGTGATCTGTAAATCAGTGTCTCACAGCCTAAAATACTTGAAAGTAGCTTCCGCGGTAGCAACATACCGCGAGTCTCTCCCAGCACGCGTTACCAAATGGGATAAAGGTGCAAACAAAGTATCCGTCAACTATAGCTTCAGACTTCATAGAACTGAAATTATGGTAATTAGTTGCACAGAGTCATCGATAGTGATATATGGATATTCAATTCCACTAAAGTTATTGACACAGGAAGAACAAGCTGAAAACATAATTAAGTAATATATATATTGTGAACTAGCAGATAGCGACAAAAATTTAGTTAACTTTTTGAAGGAATGAGAATACTGGAAAGAAATCAGGGAAGCCTCATTCAAGAAGTGACATTGCTATACGAATAGAAAACCCTATCGGTATGAATCCTGGCAGTAGGATATTATAATCGCAGTCATTTGACGGAAGATACAATATTCAAGAACACTCAAGATAGATTGCTCATTTTAGAATAACCGCGTCCATCTCAAAATGAGCCCTAGAAAGGAAAGATAGAAAACAAATGAGATAACATCACGGTGTATGTCAAGGCTACAAAATAACGTTCATTGAAAATGAATATTTCGCCAACCGCCACCTCGATAGCGGCGGCGCCACCAGTCGCCGAAGGGCCGAACCAGGGGGCGCTGTGGGCGCAGAGGATCCAGCAGAGACGCGCCGCCGGGGCCGCCGGCGAGGGCGCAGGCGAGGATTAGCAGCTTCATCAACGCGGCACTCAGAATATCAGAATTTTATTATCGCGGGGCGGCGTAGCGAGAGCGCGCGGGCAGGTGACAGCGCTCATTACGGCCACGCGAAGAGATAACGGCGCTAACAGCCGCCGAACGAGCGGCGTAATTGCGAAAACATGGCGAAGGCGCGTCGCTGGCGCGTCGCTCGCGCCCCTTCGCCGATAATCCCGCCCCGCCGCGCAGCCGATGCGAGCCCGATGGGCGGCGCTTTGTCCCGCCGCTCGCGCTTCTTCTTCTCATCACGCTGCTGGAATGGTCGAATTTTTTTATTTGTTTGCTTTTATTTTATTTTTTTCAAAAATCACCTTGTAGCTTTAAACGTATCGCTGACAGGCTGTTAATACGCGTTCCCTGAGTGTTTAATTCTAATCGTGATATTACACCTGACAGAATATTAAATGAATGTATACCAAGAAAGTCGCAAATGTTAAGTGCCTGGGATCAATATGTTAACGGATAAGCGAGAATTATTTTCCTCTTTTATAGACGCGTTTTCGTTTTACTGTCCGGCTTTTGTTATCTCTGTCTCGTATCTCTCATTGGGGACATTAAATTACGTAGTCCATTTCATGTCACTTGCTACCTCCGCAAAACTTCTAAAAATATATTTTGATGTTTGGAGAAGTAATGGATATTTTCCCTCCAACTTCGAAGGATGAAAATATCGTATCATAAAAATCTAAAAATTAAATTAAAATGTGTTTTGAAAAAATGTCATTTAAAATGTCAGAAAACTAAAAAAAATATTTTATTAGTTCCACTATATTACAACAAATGTAAGTGAAAAGAAAAAACTACATTTGCTATTGTAAGTATTCGTAAAAGAAGAAAATGTTTAGAAAAGTGACTAATGTATAGTATACAAATTATTTATTTACCAGAGTTTAATGAAATGTGTTAATGATCAATAATTGGATGTAAAGTTAATAAATGAATATTTGAGAAGTGAAGAGAATAGTACAATATTACTAATACAGTTTTGACTGCAATATTGTAGGGTCTAAGCGCTTTTCTGAATTGCCTCGCCTGTGTTTCTGTATGAGCCCCCGTACCATCTTTCGAGTGTGAGGTCTTGGCGTGCAATGGGATATATGGGTAATAATAATAATAATAATAATAATAATAATAATAATAATAATAATAATGAAGAGGCTAGGCGGTCAAAATATTTCTCTTGCCAATGGTACACCTTAAAAAAGTATATCTGTAAACACAACACAACTACACAAAATTCATTTAATTATTAAATCATGTTAATAAAACTTTATTGATAATCAAGTTGATCTTATTGATATATGTGTATTATTTTCTGTGTCTACGACTACCTTATTAGAAGCAAAAAGCTTATTTTCAAATTTTATTTCAACTTTTATTTATAATACTAATCCTCTCCTTACTTCTTTCATTAAGTTCTCCCTATTGCTTTTGCTTATTTTAATAATTCCTATTGCTTCCATTAACGCATTTTGCCTTGGATATTCTCCTCCGCACACACGAATACTCAGTCCCGTAGTCGCCGACAGCCAGCTCGCGTCCTGCCGGGAGCGGGTGGGCGAGGATCGAGAACTCGACAGATCGAACAAAGCGACAGCTCGGGGAACGCCAGCATCATAACCGCAAGTTTCCGTACTCCAGCGCCTATCAGCTAGGGCGTCAAATGGCAACAATCAACAATTCTCTGAGAAGTTAAAATAATGAATATGAATAATCGAATAGAAATTGTTTATTAGTATTAATAACAAAGACATACTTTTTTTTCATTCTGCATCTTTTTTTAAAAATGATTTTTAAAACGTGAATATTACGCGGCGATTACAGCGATTTTCTATTAAATTATATTTCGTCTGCATTGTATACTAAATGTACTAACTGAAGCATCCTACGTTTTCCGGTTATTTCTTAATCTTAATCATCAATTCCGCAGAACAAGGAATGAATTCTTTATGCGGTGTATCCTCATCCTACTCTTCCTTGCCAGTAACAATTTTGATCTTCACTTCCCGTCCCGAACTGACGCTATTTCAAAAATTCAAAATGCATTTAGTAGTAAATTCTATGGACTTTAAGTAACATTTATTTTGGTGGATTTTCTCGCCATCTTGGAGGTATTTGGAAAATATCGTCAAAAACGGAAAGGTTGTCCAATTTGTATCAAACGTGTAGAAATAGGGGATATGAGTAAGTTGTACGAAATACCAAAGAAATTAATTTTCCTCTAAGGACCCAAGTGAAATATTTCATTAAGATCTGGATAGAATGGCAGATTTGTATAAAAAACGATCTGATTTATATAAAAGAAATAATAATAATAATAATAATAATAATAATAATAATAATAATAATAGTAATAAACGAATAATAACTCCACGTTGAGAGTTCATGATCTTGTAGTTCGTGGTGGAGCTAGAGTACCCTCATGAGCCCGAGAGCTGTGTTGGCGGTAGCCTAGATACTGGTAGGGTCTTCCGTACTGAATCGGTTGAAGTTAAAGGATCCGATGAAGATGTACTCCAGAGGAAAATCCCAACGGCATCTTAGAAGAAGAAGAAGAAGCAGAAGAAGAAGCAGAAGAAGAAGCAGAAGAAGAAGCAGAAGAAGAAGCAGAAGAAGAAGGAGAAGAAGAAGAAGAAGAAGAAGGAGAAGAAGAAGAAGAAGAAGAAGAAGAAGGAGGAGAAGAAGAAGAAGAAGAAGGAGAAGAAGAAGAAGAAGAAGAAGAAGGAGAAGCAGAAGAAGAAGAAGGAGAAGAAGAAGAAGAAGGAGAAGCAGAAGAAGAAGCAGAAGAAGAAGAAGAAGAAGCAGAAGAAGGAGGAGAAGAAGAAGAAGGAGAAGAAGAAGAGGAAAAGGAAGAACAACAACAATAACAACAAGAAAGGAGGATTTATGAAGATGACGGAAGAGACACTTCGAACACTTTCCCGCAGCGTCTGATCAGCGCCAGATCAGCTTATTTCGTATCTGAACCGAGAGCGGCTGCAACCAACGTGTCTCCGTGTTAGGAGCGACTGCATCCGTAGTGGGAACTAGAGAGGAAAGGGCCATAAACCTTTGGTCTTCCTGTTACCAGCCCATAGAGGGTACACAGGATACACTGGATTGGCACTGATCTAGACCACTGATTACCGTGAAGGCCCGAACTTGTATTAGCCAGTGAAAGAGGCTTCAAGGGTCAGTTGCATACGAGCAATCGGAGGGGCCCTTGTCGAACCCTGCGGGGGATGTTCCAAGGTGGTCGCTGTGGGTCGCAGTACTAATCGATGACATAAAATAACCCATGGGTTAAGTGGGATCTATGAACTCGAACTTCACTTAAAACCAATGAGCAAAATAGATAGAACAAGAAACATAATGAATCTTAACGGCCTTGTTCTACCAATGTCTCATACCTGCTCAGAAATGGAGCTAATGTCACCTTATGGTCGTCTGGCCATCTCGTGGATGTTGGTCCCAAGGAACCAGAGCCGGCAGTTGCTCGAAGCCACCGTCAGAGACGGACACGGGATGAATTAAGCGAGGAATATAAGTTTATAAGATATGGAGAGAGCGGAACCCAGATATGAGACCTCCTCTCGATTCAAAAAAGCTTGCCAGTCAACGACGATACATACTCAGCAATGGAAAATTCACAGCATGACAACTTGCTGACATTCAGAGAAATGCGGAGAGTGTTCATCCATCGAACATACGAAATTTGTATATTTTTTTAGATTACATCAAAAACCTGATGTGATGGGGTAAAGTGGATACCGGTTTCGGATTTAGCGACCCCAAAAATATATAACAAACATGGTCTGATCTCCAGGATCGAACTAGAACAATTATTTTTGTGTAGCTGTATTATTGACAGAAATGTTCTTCTTAAACTCTTTACAAAGTTTCGAATCCTACAAATTTGGATTCTTATTTGGATATTTTTTGTATACGAGCTAAAACAATTATTACATCTAGACCATTATGTACTAAAACCATTATATATAAAATTATTGCTAAGACAGCTTACCATGAGTTCCCGTTTTCCATTACCACCATCACGTTTTCCATCACGGGCTGAGGGTCTAAAATCATATTTCTCATGGCGCCCAAATATCATTTTTTTTCACGTTTTCTTAATTCTTCGGATTCCTAAAGAAGAATTAAAATATGAATTTATTATTATAGAAGGATAAAATCTGATCCTGTATGAGCATGTTCATCATACAACTTGGAGGCGTTTTAAAGAAAAAATTGTTTAAACTTTTCTAAAAGCATCTATATGAGCATTTTTAGTTTCACGCAAAACATTTGATTTTTCAAGAAACTTGATAACATATTATTTGAAGAAATTGTACTTAAAAATGCGATAATGTATCAGAAATTCCCATAATACAAATACTGACGAAATGACATATCGTCAGTATTAACAGAAGAAAAATTACTTCTGTTGCATTTTTTAAAAACCAAAAGGTACATATATGTGGCATTTATGTCGTGTTATGTAGTCCATTTAGCGTTACCCGTACAAAAAATTACGAGCCATTTTCGAGAAAATAGCGTTTGAGAGTAATCGAAAATGCACAATTTTGAGCTCATTTTCACCGAAAGCTTTTGAGTTTTTGAAAAGCATTGTACAACATTTTCGCATTGTGCTCACAAATGCAATAATGTATGCAAATTGCCGATAATGTAAATATTAATAATGTAGGAGGCAGAAAAATTCATTTGTGTATTTTTTAAAAACAAATGAGTACAGCGAAATAACTTTTATGTCAACTGTTACAATGCATTTAGCAATATCCCTTCAAAAACTTTAAAGAAAAAATGTTAAGCCATTTTGAAAAAAAAATTGGAAATGTCCCTGGGGCGTCATATAAAGTACCCCCCAAAATTTAAAGAATGTTTTTCAAAGTCGCAGAGCTTCGAATTGGGCCGAATCAACTACCGTATAATCATTCAAGGAAAAAACACCAATACTTTAGACGCTAGTGTTGTTCCCAGACGCACAGACGGCCGCTCTGCCGGCCTGCCGTACGGACGGAGAGACCGACCGTCAGATGGACGGACGTTTTCGAGAAAGAAATTTTTTTTTTCTTTTTCAGGCACTCTAAAACGTGTAGGAGTCACAAAACATGAATTCCTCTACACCACGAGTTAGAGGAAATAACTTACTGTGTATAGCAACACGATTTATCCACTTTTCGGTTCCAAGATTCTGCAATAGGAGTCTTTCTGCCGAAAATTCGTCGCTTTTCCGGCGCACGATTACATAACTTTCTCTTCTTACCACGTACCTTCGCAAGGACGAGAAAGTAAAACCCCCGAAACATGGGCTACATTGTCACCGGAATATGCAGAAAGTTCACGCAGCCTTTCCTTCCAGATCCCAGACGTCTGCAGCACCGGTCACGCTTCCTCAGTCAGTCTATAAAAATAATACTAATGGAAAAGCGGATCCGGCGACAGATTGGAGGATCAGGGGGCCTTGGCGCCGAGCCTCCTGATCTGGCGCGATCGGCCTGCCAGGCTCGCCCCGCGGCGCGCTCTGCGGCCAAGGCCCCCGGATGAGCCCCGATCCGCGGGCGCTTCGCAGGAAAGACACTCGCAGCGAAGGAAGTTATCGCCCGCGTTCGCGCGGAGAACCTACAAATCCATCTCGTTTGAAGGCGAAGGTGCAAATTCAGAGTTTCCGTGATTTTGTAAGCTTTGCACACAAAAGTAATTGGTGATTTGATTCTCTCTGAATTTCAAAGGAAATGAAGAAGCAGATTACTTCACCAGCAAAATCAAAACTATTAGTTTAGTACTAGTGCTAGTTTAATGTATTTTACTCCAATTACAACGCATTTGTTAACGACTTCTCTTTGTGTTGTAGAAAGAACCTTCATCGAAAAGTCTAGGTTCGGAATGGTTTGACTCTCTCAACAACAAAGTTATCCACGAGTTCTTAGAAATACTTTACAATAAATTATTTTACTAGAACTATGGAAAGATTATGACAAACATTCTGCTCAGTAAATTACAATTTAGGTGTTTATTTACAATATACTTTATGTCGAATCAATTTGTTAATCTCTCGGGCTTTCCTATATAGAATGAAATATCATATCCCAAATGTGAAATCAATATTTTCCCACAGGGATCGTTAAACAAAACAGTTCACTACAATACTCAGGCGACGGTTATCCATTTTTTGTACGTCAGGCTTTGCAACAATTCGTTCAAGTGCTTATTCAGCCAAAATGAATGATTACATCTACTCGTATATTGTGACAGTGATGGTTGCGTGCACCACTTTAAACATAAAAGTTCCAAGACTTCACATTGAAGCAATATTTTCAAAGATCGGTATTGACAATTTCGGAAAATACTTCATTGTAACTCAAGTGAACTGAGAACAGTTCTGATTATATTTTTGCGTACTTCTTCCAAAAACATAATTCGCATGATACTTCTTGTATCCATATGAAAGAGAGTTGTGAAACGAACTCGTTCATCTCGTGAAGGCGCCGCTGTGCGAGGAGCGAGATGCCCGCCCCCTCCGCTGCGCCGGCGCCGTTATTGACCTCTCCGCCCCGCGCCCCCGCACGCCCCCCGCACGCCCCCCGCCCCTTTGCACGCGGCCCGTCCTTTATCTTAATAGGCCTAATATATCACAACTTGAGACACTGAAGTACTCGTGACTACGAATTTTTGAAATTGATTGTAACTCTTCTTCTTGGCCTTCCCCTCCGCTAGTCTCTCTCTCTCGCCCTCCCTCTCCCTTGGCTAGCTTCTTTGTCCTCTTTATTCGCTGCTGCGTCTTCTCCTTCCACGGGCGGCCCTCGCTTGGCGGAGGCGGCGGCGGCGAGCGCACAGCGCCCCAGAGGACCGCGCGTCGTTGATTCTAATTATGCAAAGATTTCTCGGGTAATTTCCCTTTCCTTTACCTCAGTTCGCCGCGCCGCCCGCGGCGCAGCGTTCCCTCAGAGGCGGTTCCCCGTTGCCATGGATACCAGCATCCCTTCCCTTCTATCTTCCGCCTTCCCCCTGGCCGCGGCCGGAGCATCTCCAGATCCCGCCGCCTCGCCTCCACCCCCCTCTCTCTCACTCCCTCTCTCACTCCCTCTCTCTCTCTCGCCCCCTCTTCGCTTGCGCCATTTTGTTCCTCCTGAGAGTTTATATACATTTGGGCGCCGTCACCGCCGCTCTCCCGGTCGCCACAATTTATGTAACCCGCAGCTGCAATCTCGTGCTCTAATTCACACTATTTAGGGCGTAACGAAGCTCGAGGGCTATGTTTTCATACGCGCCGCGAATGCGGTCGCGCGCGAACGATCTCCCCGCGTGACACATCTCGCGCGAGAAGAGAGCCTCGTCCAAAGTCTTTCAACTTTTTGCGCTCACTTTTGCGCAACATAAGTTTTAAACTCCCATAAGAAAGCATTTAGAAATGATTGCAATATTTAAATTTAATTTTTTTAAAATTAGATTTTGGTGTCCCCTAGACTCCATGACAAATAAGCTGCTTGATTAAAATGTAAGCTTGTAACAAAAAACAACAATTAACAATAAAACCTCCAGAGTTAGTTTCTTAGATTTCTTCTAGGTTTGAATGTCTACTGATCTATCGTTTTATGTACTGTTCATGACGGACTGCTCACACAATGCAGAAATTATTTTGGTAGTTAACAAGCTTACATTAACCGTTGTAGAGTTCACGACCATGATGAAATAAGGGATTTAATACACGAGATTGGTCGAAATATCGAATATTGAAATTTAAGAGTTGAGAGCATTTTGTTTGTGAAGATGCTGTATTGTCAGAACAATGTGAATTTCACTGCAAAACTTTTCAGTTAATTCAGTTTTTGACCACTCATATAGTGCTAATGAGCACAGCACAAGGTTACGTACCCAAGAAAATGTCGCAGCGCACAAACCCTTCACGCATTTCTTGTTTTCTTCGTCTCTCGAAGAAGTTAAGAAATGCGAATGACTCTGAACATTGTCTGAAACGAAAGTCTGGTAATAAGGTTCGCGAATGTTGCGTAGTACATCACGATTTTTCTACTTGACAAATTTCTGCTAGAATATTCAAAATTGCTGACTATTTTCTGGATATTTAGAAAAAACATTTTCTTCAATCGTACGCATTTTATATACAGCCACGACTAAAGGCGGTTCTTTTAGAACATGCAAGAAGTGCTAAAAGTCCAATTTTTGGCACTAGTGCTAAAAGTGCGACAATGTTCAATTGTTTAGATAAATATGTTCATGCAACAAACGAAACAAAATGTCAGCGTCATCTACTACTAAACTTAACGTATCATTACGTGATTTGAATACTTGAATAACAATAAAATGAAAGTCTAAATAGTAGTGTATGACATACGTGTTAAAAGTGATTTATGTTTCTCGTAGGATTGCTCCACTCGGTCTGTCGACCTTGTGCCGCAACCTTTCCTACTGGCAAAATAAAATGTTACTTTTACTATTCGCATCGTAAATAACTATTCTATTATAGATATGCACAGCAGAAAACTTTTAATTTTGGTCTTTCAAACTTCTTATCCTCCTTAGTAACGTAAACAGCAACACGTCGAAATACTACTCTAATATTCCCCTCTTCAGATACGAGAAGTCGAGTTTCTCAATATTTTGGCGCAGCTCTTCGCAGGAAAGGGTTCTGGGATCCATCTACCATTGTCAGAGGTCTTTACGTGGTTGGTAAAACCCTCTTCCAAATTGCCCTCCTTTCTGTCTTCACTTCCACTTCCCAGTACCGCCAACAAAGCGACGCTTGCGATTTCTACGACACGGTCAAATACGACCAATTCCGGAATGATTTCCGCCCATCGAATAAAGCTCCCGGCGTCGCTGCACGGCATGCATTCGACGCCTCTCCGCCCCGCCACCTTTCAGATGTCGTAACCGCGCGCCCCTCGCCACACCCACGGACTATCCTTGCTCGTGCTTCCCCGAAAATACTGTGTGGGGCCGTGTCCGGTTTCCGG